AAAATTTCTCGGACATTCAGGCCAATAAATGTTGTTTAATACTTAATGACAGTTCTGTATAGGATACAGGTTCGAATTCTGTTGGAGGACAAATATTTTCTGTGAAAATTTCTCGGACATTCAGGCCAATAAATGTTGTTTAATACTGTTTATTATAAACAGAGCATTTTTGTATATATAAAAAGAATGTTTAAACATAAAAATGTCTTAAAATATATATATATATATATATATAATAAAGTTAATGGTCAGAGTTAAATTAGACCAGGAAACAGTAGTATTAAAAAGTGCTCAATACACACATAAAAATTTAACATTAGGTATAAAATTTAGATCAGCTGATTCCGCTACCTTGGTTTCAACCTTTCAGTATGTTCAAGCGATTTTGGTCAACTGATTTCCTAACACTATTTTTTTAAAAATTAATTAACATTTTATTATTTAAAAATAAATCAATAGATTACATGAAGGGGAGGAAGAGGAGAAAAGCAAGGATATTGGAAATGTATTGGTGTGTGTGTGTGGGGGGGTGAGGATAAATGATATGTACATACTTTCTTTTCATCCTGGTTCATACGAACTCAAAAGGAATTTTTAGTTTGTATGCAATGAGTCATAATTTCCAATCTCTTATTCAAAAGGTTTTTTTTGGTCTGGAAATTATTATTGCTAACTTTCATTGTTGACAAAGGTTGCAAATATACATGAATATGTTACTTTTTTTCAAAATCTTATTTTTAAATTATAGGTGTATTTTATATCCAGTAAGTAACGGAGTTGAAGTGAAATAGATAAGCAACCATTTTATAATGGAATTTAGATGATTATCACAGATATCTTTGTTGCCATGACGAAAAAAAAAAATGTAACTCCTTATAGGTGAAGTACAAATAAGCAGAACATTTGCACTCCAGAGAGAAGTAATATTTAGATCATCCTATTTTTGGTATAGTAGAAACTGATACTTTGAGTTGGGGTCTGCAAAAATAACATTATTTTTGCTTCCATCTCAGGTTAGATCTGTTTTTTTTTTGTTTTTTTTTTAACGGTAATGTTCACCCTGTACAAGGCTCAAGAGCCACTCTACATAAAGGTTTACAAAAAAAAGAGGCATATGTCCCCATAATATGTGAGGAAGATAATAGTTAACTCTAGACTTAAACAGGTTAAGATTTTAGTGATTGTTGATGCATCCCCTTGTGAGTCGTTTGCACAAAATAGTGGTTCATAGGAAGCTGTTTCTGTTGAAAATCCATCTCACCAAATGTGATGTAATTCTGTATGGAAAGGAACCTAATATAGGCAACTGTGCTCTAATGATCATGTAATTTTTTGTTGATAACTCATATATATATAAGTGAACATTGAAGCCAACACTTAGAGATGACAGGCCTGATGATTGCATCTAGCATGAAACAGCCTGTCGCCTCTAAGTGTTGGCTTCAATGTTCACTTTTATATTTACACACGCTATATCTCTGATATTAAGCACTTTATCCCATAAATATAGCACACCTTAAGACTATATTTCTTTATAAAGCAGTGTTGTTATAGGAATCGATACTGTGTGGTGACTGTCAACTCCAGGACTCAAGTGGTCTTCAGATTGAATCTACAAAAACTCTATCTCTGATAATGAGTACTCACCCACCCCCACAAATTTATCAAATTTAAAAATTTATGGCATGAAAATAGCATTCTTGATGAAACACTTCCCACTCAGTGTTTACTTTTATATTTACATGTGTCTATCCTGATATTGAGCACTTTTAGCCATAAATATAACATATAAAAATATATATATATAATATATATATATATATATATATATATATATATATATATATATATATATATAGTTTTAAAGTATGCTATATTTATATTAAAGTGTTCAATATCTGTTATAGAGTGATGACTGACAATTGCATTTAGCATGAAACAGACTGAAACCTCTGGGTGTTGATTTCAATATATATATATATATATATATATATATATATATATATATATATATTGAACAATAAAAATATTAAAAATTAAAATCTTCAGACACACTGGGTTGTAGATTAATATTCTTTTGTTTTTATTATTATTATTATTTCATTTAGATTCCTTGACTATTTTCGGCCAAAATGCCCATCATCAGGAGAAGAAATATTTCTGCTTGCTGGTAGTGTAAAAAAAAAAAAAAAAAAAATATATATATATATATATATATATATATATATATATATATATATATATATATATATATATATATATATAGCCATATATTTGTAGGTGCAAGATCCCATATCCCATAAGTATATAATTTGCACAATCTCATTTTGTCAATTTCCAGACTGTTCCTCACCAAACTTCTCAAACTTGGCCTTCATGACTGAAATAACCTAGTGACAAATAAGCACCTCTACTAGAATCCATCCAAAACCCAGCACCAGTTGAGATTCTTTGACTTGTATTGTGAATGAGATGCCTATTCTCCAGAATAGCATCACCAAACAAGATTTTATTATTTCAAGTAAGCATTTAGGAGTTTTTAGTAAAGTAAGCCAGAAAGCTTACATTACTATAAAATACTCTTAAGAGGAGGTGGAATAATGGATAGTGGCTTGGATTGAGGAATCAGAGAGCCGAGTTTGACTTCCAGTCGAATCAATTACATTCACTTACATGCTAATACCCTTGGGAAAGGTATGAATTCTCTTCTCCCCCTAGCTATGGGTAAATAGCAGGACAGACCGGGTTATATAGCCTTGGATGGAAACTGGTCTGTAGAAAGAAATAGCAACCTACTGTTGGGAAAAAATCTACCATGTCAGACATGTATCGAAAGATACATGATCGCCTAAGTGTGTATCACGCATGGCACATAACTGACAGACTGAAGCCAGAAAGTTGAGTAGTAATAAAATGACGAATTCTTGTTTTTAGTGTTTGTTTTTATCTCATCAGATGTGATAAAATTCTTCCAAGATATTTAGAGATTTGAAACAAAATGTCCAGTTTATCTCTGAAGAAGCATTTATTAATAGACCTATTTTACTACTAGTTATGACTCTTATTCATTCCAGACAAGCTTATCTTTCATCTTACTGCCTTTTTTATCACTGGAGAATATTTCTGATCTATACTGTTTGCTTAATAGTTGTAGAATATAGAACAAACCTGAATGTTGCAATAAAAAAAGCAACAAAAATGAAAGATAAACTAGTCAAAAAGTAATCATGGCAGTGCTTCATATAAGAAATTCAGATAGCTTAAAAGCATTATGAATGTAAAGAAGCAATATGGTGTGAAGTAAAAATTGTTTAATAACATTTCTACATGACGAAATGTGAATGATATCTACTAGTTAGCTTTCATTGCCTAATTAGTAAAGGACTGAGCATGTCGGACAGATTTAAAAATATGCGATTCAAGTACAAATACCATCAAAGTCTCTTCTTTATTTCTGAACAATCATAAAAGATAAAGTGACCTGAATTTCAGTGCATAAAAAACAACAAATAATAATGAAAGATGAACTAGTCTGAAATTAATAATAATGAAAAATGTATCAAGTAAGGAATTTGGACAGTTTAAGACTATTTCATTTACTAATACTAGTTTTGACTATTTTCCTTTTTTTATGATTTATCTGACTTTGTCAGAATTAGTCTATTCTCCAGCCATTAAATTATGGAAATTCAAAAGAACTTTGAGCAAAACTCCAACTACTCCTAGGAGCTTGTTATTCTCGTATAAAGTCTTAATCTTTGGGGCTGCCAAAGCTGTTAGAAGGTAGAGTTCTCATCCAAACAAGCAAGTCCCTAAAACAGTTTTATCAAATATTAAAGTGAATCAGAATTGAATTAAATAGAATTATATTATTGATTATTATATTAATCAGCTTTTTACCTGTGGCATCACAGGAAAGATTTATTAAATAAAAATCTTAATTTTCTCTAATGATTACGAATATCATGTGGCAGACATTTTTTTTTTTTTTTTTTTTGTGATTAAGACTGGAAACTTGAAATAAAATCACATCTGTGTTTTAATGCAAACTCCATTTGAATCCACTATATGCTAAGTTTAAGCATTTCTGATTACATCCCACTGACTTTACCTCTATGCCATCACTCCACTGCTTATCTGCTTAGCCTAACTAATTTTCTGCATGGACAAACTAAATATTTCTCAAAATAGTAGAAAAAAATCATTTGATGACTAAGCATTGATTTTTTTTTTAACTTTTTTTTAACTTTTTTTTATATTGAAAATCAGAAAGAAAGGGATTGTCAGTAGTCAAGTTCAAACTTAATGACAGAATACGAAGAGTATATATCTAATGTAAAAGCATTGCATATGATGAAGGAAGATATTGTTGGTAGTCAAGAATTGATGCAAGCTTCACTGATAAGGCTATTATTCTATGTTTAATGATTTTAATTGATTCAATATTATTTCCTTTAGATTTAGATAAGTGTTTTTTTTGTTTTTGTTTTTTTTTTTATACTTATTTTATTTTGATCATTTCACCCCAAGCAAGGGTATAATGCCACTATGACACAAGGTGTTACTGGATGTGAAAGTGAATGAGAAGACTTTAGTGAGGAGGATGACAAAAGAACAGAATTCAGGAAAACTGAAGATGGCAATTGGAATTGTATTTAAATTTTTAAAGATTGTTGGTGGCAGGGTAGTAAGAGATCACAAGGAAGTTCTACAGGTGAAAAGTACGAGAAAAGAAATTATTAGAATAAAACATGGTTGCATCTAGCAAGTTCAACAGTAAAATGGTAAGACCAAGTTGATAATCTAGTAGCATGCTTAAATTTCTTTAACTTGGACACATCAGGTAGGAAAACTCATTAGAACAATTACCATGAAAATATTTATAGAAAAGACCAAGAAAGTCATAATTTTTAAATCATTGGAATAGACTAGTTCCAAAAAAATATATTGTATTTCTCTAATGTTTTAATGCAAAATAATTGTTTTTATTTTTCTTGCAGAATGGCCTCAATGCTCTACATCTCGCTTCCAAGGAAGGACACATCAACATTGTCACAGAACTGCTCAGAAGAGGAGCAAATGTTGAAGCAGCTACTAAGGTAGAGTTTTCTTTTATACTGAAAATGTCTTTGTAATAATTATTTTTATGATGGTGCATGGCTGAAGGGTCAGTGCTAAACTTTTGACCATGAGAAGTGGGTGACTTCTTGATAATATCAGCCAGGGGAACTGATTCCAGCATGCGACACTGTTGGAAAGTGCCTGAAAAGTATACTGTGTTTAACACAAGTCTTAAGATAAATTGAGTTGACAAAACTGTTCGGAAGCTGGTTGTGCTATATGAATAATTATTGCAATCAAACATTTGCAAGTGAATCAGGTTTTGGCATTAAATGAGCCATAAAGGTGTTGATATGCTGTAAACAAACCAAACCAAAAACCAAATTTTTTGGAATTTCAAGCACAATATTTTTCCCTGTCTGTAAAGAGATCAAGCAAAATATTTCTTTAATTATTGTTTATTAGTTCATTTTCTACAGTTTATTAACCCTTTTAAACCCGAAAATATTTCTAGATTGTAAGAATTTTTATTTATTTATTTATTTTTTAGATAATAATGGTTTCATGATATAAGCCTTACTAATTAACCTATAGCTGGGGAATAATTAAAAAATATGCTCTTAAGTAGGTGCCGGAAGAGGGGTCATCAGTGATGTAATTTGACTTGGCTCATCAGAGAGTTTCAGGTCTTTCAACATTATACACCTCGTCACAAAGTCAACCCATTCAGGGAAGATCAATCCCTGATCCCCCTCCTCTCAATCAAATGCTAACAGCTACTCTGGCCTTTTTAATGAATTAGACGAAGAAAGATCACATCTTCCACACACCCGATTGGATGTTTGTAACAACCAATCCGCTGCACAAACTATCTTTTAAATGGTCCACGGTGGGGACTGGCTTCTTTACTTTTTTCGGTGGATAGCAGTTTTAATGGATAACCGAGGATGTAATCTAACGTTCCTAAATTTAACCCTTTTTTTCCTAAGTACGGTATGGTGTCTTACTCTAAATATTTGCCGTTTTGATTTTATTTGTACTTTTGGGTGGGGGAGACTTAAACTTGGCCCTAGTATCACATTTTTATGGTTTTCTTAACATTATTACAGGTCAGTTAACTTTAAATGGAGAAAGAAGAGGTGGACTCGTAATTTTTCTTTGTGCATTAATTCTTCTTTAAGCAACCGATGATCAAGAATGACTATTGCAAAGATATTCAAATTACTTTTAATTTAAGAAAGTGTTTTTGTCAGTGGTTAGGTACAGAATAAGATTACTGATAGAATAGCGTTATTGTATATCTAATATGAAAGCATTGATTATCAAAGAAAGTATTGAATATAAAAAAAGTATTGTTGGTGGTCAGGAATTGCTGAAAGCATCATATTTTCCTATAAATCATCAATGTTTTTCTGATAAATTGTTTTATGGTTTATTTTCTCTTTGGATTTATCTAAGGATTTTTTCTTCTTGGTTTAATATTTAAATCATTGGAACAGATGAGAATAGTAGTTAAAGTGTTTTCCTTTGCATGTGCGTCAGATACTGACAGCATAAAAATATGTGTTTAATAAAGAACCATATTGTATAAATTTGCAAGTGATAACAGCTGTCATTTATCACTTGCTAAACATACCTCTAGCACAACGATATTACATATACTGGAGTCCTTTACAGGCAGGAAATGGAGCATAGGAAGATTTTGTTGCACCAATCTTAAAATAAGGTTTAAGGGGCATGATTCCCAGCATTGAAAAATCAATACCTAAAATCTTAGTTTTGAATACTGACCACTTCAGCCACTACACAGTTTTCAGAATATTGATATTTTGTTACTGGCATATTTTAATAGAATCTGACTCATCATCACCTGATCAAGGATAAAGTTAAATCTTCATCTTATCAAGGATCAAGTTGATAAATAATCCTTTTTTTGGCTCTTCAAAATTTCAATATAATGTTGTCTTTATTAGTGCAATCAAAATTGACATATTAATACTGTATATAAGATACATACATTTTTTTTTCTTAATCATTTCATTCCAAGCAAGGCAATAATGCTACTAAGATGTAAGGGGTTACAGGGAGTGAAAGAGAATGAGAAGACTTTAATGAGTAAGTGTGGCGGACATGAGACAGAACCTGGGATTCAACAACTGGTCGCGACTTGCCTTGTCCCCGCCAAAAAAGAGCCCGTATTTGCTTAGCATGTAAAGCTACTGCAGTTGAAATGAGGGAGAGAAAAAAAAAAAGCACTTACCGCTCTGACGTAATCCATCCTCGCCAGATAACATAAAAAGAATGAGGGGGACTGGCATCAGCATTTTTATCCAATAACGATGCAATGCATTATGGGACATGGAAATGCATTATGGGACATGGACGCACGAATTATGGGATCACAGGAAGACGCAAAAGATTATGGGTACATGAACAACTATAAAACAACTACTTTTTTCCAAGTAGTTCTTGAGGGATTGACGGCTAGAACGGGCAGTTAGTGTGATTTGGAGACAGAACTCAGGAAGGAACGACTCAAGTTTGAAATACCAGTTGGGAGAGCTTGAATTTACTCGCTGGTTACTGTTTTTTTCATTGATATTGATTCTTCAAAATGGAAGGCAAAAGTCTTTGACGTCCGTTTGATTCATTCAGCGCGCCAACGGATATGCCCATTGTTGAATGGATAGAAAATGTGGAATTGGTCTTTAACTTTGTGCCATGGACAAGATCGAAAGCATCTTGCCTTTTCCTTGCCCTCGCTGTATATAGACAACTCAGTGGAGAGCAGAGGGCAGGCAGCGGAACAAATTAAACGGGCCCTTATGACTGCATACGCGACTGACAAATTTAATTTCGTTAAACCTTTATCTTATGAATTCCTGGCTGAAATGCATCGTTTGTGGCGGCTAGTAGGAGAACCGCTACCTGATCGGTGGATGGCATGTGCATTTGTGTCATGCCACATCATGTTAGGCAGCTTCTTTCTTCCAGGATTTATTCTGACCCGAGCAAGAAGGGCTATTTTTATTGGCTTCAGAAGCTGAGGTTCCCCTGCCAAACCTGTTAGCAGAACGATTACCTGCTACAAGTTACCCAACCATATTTAAATCAGGAGAGGTCAAACAGAACGCCAGAGGTGGAACAGAATGCCAGAATAGTAACAAGTTAAAGTGTTGGAGTTCCATTTGCCGACGGAAGACCCTGAAGTGCCGTGGATTTACGCCGCATATTCAGCCCGTGACTGTTGAGGTTCTGGTCGTGAAGGCAGTTGCTAGGATATCTTCTTCTCGGATTGATGCAATCAAAGTGCTTTCCGGAGGTGTACTCCAATAAACCTGAAACATGTGCCGCCATTGTTATCAACAAGCCTGACTTTAGAAACCCGAACAAAAACGTGGACTGCATTGTGGAAGTGGGCAGTGGTCATTCACCCAGCAAGTTGGTCAATAAAGTACAGGAGTTTGCAAGATGAAGAACTGATGGCAACAGCTGTCATTTATTCCCTAATGGCTTCCGACTAAACATAACCTCTAGGCTGACGAGAGGTGTGTGATATTACATATACTGATTCAGACAAATCCTTTTCAAACAGGCAGGAATGTGGCACCTCTTGTCGGAGATAACGTCCAGGATCAGGAATTAAGATTGCGTTGGCATATCGTCGATCGATATCTTCATAAATTTCTGCAGCGGCGTCTTAAAACTTTGCAGATTTAAGTCTGTAAAGATCCGAGCGATTGAGAAAACTAAGGTCCTGGGTCTGCAAAGAGCAACTCCTTCGATGGAAGCCAAGTTCCAAAATTGCTCAAAAAGGTGACCATTGCTATTTTCCTTGAAACTATTTCCCTGTGTGCGGTTGGCTTAGGGTGGCAACTGCATTTATTAAGCGTTATGCACACTAACCAGGATGGGACCAAAGGATGCCCCTCTTGGGCGTATGCTGGAGGAAACAGTGGCCCAGAGTAAGGAATCAGATCCTGTCGGGCGGAGACTGGTGTGTGAACGGCAATGAAATGACAGTTTGGTGGATGCAAGCTCCGTACACGGGAGTTGAATGGGAGCGCCGTGATGCTTGCTGGTTGCGTCCAACCAATGATGCCAAACACATTATTTTTGGGCGTGAATCTTGCCCTGCAGTGGCAGGCACCAGTTATGCATGTGGTCACCGATTCAGCATGTGTGCATCGGTGGGTGTCTGACACCCTGACAGGAGGACGCGCTGTGAACACGAAGGCAGCGGGTGAAATGCTGATGAGGCTTAGAGACACTCTTGAGCTTTGGTGGAGGAGCACGACTCATCAATGAGTGCCGCAACGCTGGTTGGAGATGCACAAGAAAGGAGGAGAACCGTTAAAGTTGTGTCATCTTGAGCAACGTCAGGTGACCCACATCCACCAGCAGAGTGGGCACCCAGGTGTTAAAAGAACAATGTAAATAGATCCAACGGTTTTGGTAAAATCTGGCCTCCAATCGATCGATCCAGCAAGTGCATTGGAAGAAAGGAAATTTGAGTGTGAGAAAAAAACTGGAGCAGGTTAGCAATGGACGAACCCATTGCAATGGTAGCCATTTTCTTAATTGACTTGTCCCTTTTTGCAGTATGGCGGCCACTGAGACGGCAAGACTCTGCTGGTGTCATTATCAAGACAGTCTTCTATTTAATAGGCCCGGCCGACGAAATACTGACTGACAATGACACCACGCTTCATTTAGGAATTTGTAAACAGCTGGGGCGGTATTTGAGGTTCAACCACAGAAGCGTCAAAACCATAGCGGCCAGGGAAAAATTGTTCAGTTTTTTTACTGGCATAACGTCACCCCAAGGACAACTTTTTCACCTTCCACGGCACCGCTGATGTTTCATCGACGCGGCGCCCCGCCTGAATCACAAATAACCGAAGGGGGAATACAAGGAAGGGACATTGTCTGGTTAAGACTCCACGTGGTAAATGCACCACCAAATTTGGAACCGGACGTGTGACCGAGGGGTGAGTCAGCAGTCAATGCGGGTCGATGGAACGCCTGGTCATATTAG